ATGACTCTTCTTCTTCTGTCTGCATTTAAAATCAAGGGTTTTCGTCCTAGCGAAAACCCAGATCTGCGTAGAGAAGATTAATTTGTGTATTTTCTTTGTAGGTTTCGACAGTTGAACAAATCTCTACCCTACAACTTGATCTCCAAACTCTACATACTGGTAAATTTGAAATATTGGGGACAATGTTCGATTTAGGTTGGGGGTGTGATCTACGATTCTAGTTTGTTATAGTTTCGTATTTAAAAAAAAAGATTATTTTGGATTGCGTACTTTTACAGCATTTTTGCTTATATTTCATGATTACATCAAATGCAGCGTCAATCGTCTTTGTGACTGGCAGACGTTAAAGAACCAGATAGTGAGTCTTAAAGCATAGAAAGCATGGATGTTAAAATTTTTTGGTTTAGTTTGGGAGTCTTGCGCACATTTCCATCTGATGTGCATGCTGTAATCATGAGAAAAGCAAGAGTAGTCAGAAAAATTGAAATTCAAGAAGCACAAGCAAAACCATTGTGTGGCAGAAGTACTTTTGCTAAACGTCATCGTGCCAAACGGTTGGGTGCTTGTAAACAATGTGGCAGGTGTTTTCACATGAAAAAATACAATCAGTGTTCTGAACCAATTTCGGGTCGTGCAACCGATCGATTAAACTGGATAGTGTATGGGCAGAGTAAGGATTTTCCTGAGACGCCATCTTATACCAGTCCGGGACTTACATGTTATGTGCGACAAGAAGTGGGAAGGGTCACTAATAATGACATAGACACAAGCGATGACTCGGATTAAATTTTGACTAATAATGACAAAGCTGTGGAAAAATGTGTTTTGGGGATGAAGGTTAATGGTCCGAATTTTTTTTTGTGTAAATATTTGTTTATGTACAAAGTCTTTTTGTTGAAATAAAAATGTGGGTCGAGTAAGGATTGTCCTAAAATGCCAACTTGTAGCGTGGGTAGGGACCTATCCTGAGACACCATAGTTTTCCAAGTTCAATATGTGCATTTAGTCTTTTTGTAAATTTTCATAGATAAATGTGTATGTAAATAGTTTTGATTTTTATTCGAGTGAAAAAAAAAACCACATTTCCTTGAAAAATGGTATTTTCTCTATGCTTAAATGTCAAATGTACATTGATATTTGTTAATCTTAAAGTACAGAATGACCAGACTCGAAAATAGAATTATAATATAACTGACATTCTTTGGAAACCTGACATAACCAGTGGAGATAACGAAGAATACCATGGTAAGTTTTGAGCCTTACGATGCTTTCTGAGAGACAATCAACATTTACTCAAGTAAGCTCTTTCACTTTCAATTGTTGAATAATCTCATTAAACTTGCTTTGATTAAATGCAACTAAAGTAATCTATTGACATATCCTACAGGGAACCTTTGCATGCGACACAGGCACATACTTGAGAAAGGATTTTAGGCCATCTTTGAGTTGATTTTGAACCTTAGCCATTATTTCTACAAAATTATATCCCTAGTTAGCCATGTTTGAGCCTTCAATGAATGATGATTTTTTTTCTCAAAAAACCCATATGATAACCGAGCCACACAAAAAAAAAAAAAACACTTAACATACCTTGCTATCCAATTTTTTCTTGCACCCTCTTATAAATCGGTATGACATAGAAAGGCAAGAAAAAAAAAAAGAAAAGAAGGTGGTGGCTACTATACAACAAAGAATCGAAAAAAAAATGAAAGAAGGAAATACCATTTCTAGGCAAAAGACTGAAAAGCAAGAAAGAGGTGTGCTACATTAAAAAAGGGGATAGCTTTTGAATACCATTGACGTCATTTCATTAGCCACTAACCTCTGGCCACATTACAACCTATAGAAAGTCCTAATTGATCTCAAGTCTAATGCATGTGCGTTGTCGACCGAAAACTGGGGTATGTTAAATAGTATTTCTTTAATTGCATTGATATTCTTCCATGAGATTATGCCAAGAACATGATTAGCCTACTTTCTTAAGACTTTCACTCCCTTTCTAACTGTGCATGTGATTCTTCGATTGACCATCCTCTGATCACATGCCCTTTGAGAGACAAGTCACTATAATCGGAGTGAATTTTTTGCTGAGAGCATTCTAAGAGAGATTTGAGAAATCAAAGCTATCCATGGAAGGTGATAAAGTAGAATGTTTGTTATATAACAATTCTTGCTACTAGAATGATCATTCCTACTACACAAGGAATTCCAAATACCAATGTAACAAGTGTTTATTTTTGTATAGAGTACGTACCAATGACAAAGAAGTGTTTGGGAAACAATTCAAAATTAAGAGATGTGTGCCTCAATGATTCTGTTGCTAACTCATTTTGACAAGAAATCTTACATATACACATCTTTTAATTGGAGTTTGTAGGTAGCTTCACTAGAAACCTTCACGAGACAAAACTCGTCCACTAGGGATCACCTAGGGGTTTAACGGCTTATTGCATATACTAAATGCAATCGGGTTATCTACGAAAGTGATTTTATTTTGTTATGTTCTTTATTACTAGAGACTAGTAATATTTAGGTTGGGGGGTGTGATTAACCCTAATTAAGGCATAATTTAATAGGTAAATTGTGTTAGTTGAATAAAGTTAAACTAGTCAAAATAAATCAAATTAGAATTAGTGTGTGAATAAAGGATAATGCATTAATTGTTGTTCTTTTCAGGATTTTGTGCGTCAAAGCTACAAACTACTGGGGAGTCAATTGCATTAAAGCTACAAACTAATGGGGTGCCAATTATCAAAGCTCAAAACAAAGGAGGATCAAAGAATTCAAGGCCACCTAACAAGATTTTCAAGTCCACCTAACAAGATTCAAAGCCACCTAACAAGACTTTCAAGTCCACCTAACAAGATTCAAAGCCACCTAACAAGACTTTCAAGTCCACCTAACAAGATTCAAAGCCACCTAACAAGACTTTCAAGTCCACCTAACAAGATTCAAAGCCACCTAACAAGACTTTCAAGTCCACCTAACAAGATTCAAAGCCACCTAACAAGACTTTCAAGTCCACCTAACAAGATTCAAAGCCACCTAACAAGACTTTCAAGTCCACCTAACAAGATTCAAAGCCACCTAACAAGACTTTCAAGTCCACCTAACAAGATTCAAAGCCACCTAACAAGACTTTCAAGTCCACCTAACAAGATTCAAAGCCACCTAACAAGACTTTCAAGTCCACCTAACAAGATTCAAAGCCACCTAACAAGACTTTCAAGTCCACCTAACAAGATTCAAAGCCACCTAACAAGACTTTCAAGTCCACCTAACAAGATTCAAAGCCACCTAACAAGACTCTTCAAGTCCACCTAACAAGATTCAAGGCCACCTAACAAGACTTTCACCCTCCCTTGTTGCCTATAAATACCACCCCTTAGGACTTGTAAAGCATTCATCTTTTGGTAGTGGAAAACCCTCCAAAAGTATTATTGCTTTCCTTATTGCTTATAGCTTTCTTTAAGTATTGCTTTCTTTTATTGTATTCTTGCTTCCTTTTAATTTATTGCTTTCTTTTACTTTAAGTATTGCTTTCTTTTATTGTGTTATTGCTCTTTTACTTCCATTGCTTGAGCTTCCTTCTTCCCTTAGAGGAGTGAAACTCTTCCACTTTTCTAGAGCTTTACCAAAGCCGTGAAGGGTGGAACGTGATTCACTCATTCTTTGTCAAAGATCGGCTCATTGTGTAAAATGTGTTACCTTGTAACTCCTCTACTTGGAGGGATGAGCATCACTCACTTTTCTAGTTTTAACAAAGATATGAAGAGTAAGTAGTTTCTCATCCAATCTTTAGTAAGAGGTGGTTATCCGGAAGTTAAATTTATGCAATTTGTTTATGCTTAGTTTGAGTCTTTATTTTTTTTTATAATGTCTTCTCATCATATTGTTGTCTTTATTTTAAGCATGAATAGCTAAATCTCTTAGTTGGCAAAACCAAGAGGAACCTCCACTTGGGTATACCATTTCAACTCATTCTCCTCCCCTCTTTCCAGAGTTCAATGGCTAGGTTTGACTGGGTTGAGGGTGGATAACTTGGTGAGTCTTTGATATTCCGTAGGCCTAGTCACGGTTATGCTTATATACTCACCAATCTTACCCCTAGCTTCCCACGAATCAATCGTTCATTCATGCTCTATTAGAGGAGGGTTTTGAGTTGAGACGGTATTCCTATTGGAGTGACCTCTTGGATTTGCCAACATTTGTTTCTCATTTTACTAGCATCAAAACAACTTCACCAAACAACTTCCAATAATCAAAGATTTTACACTTTCTTTCTCCCAAAATCACCTTCCCCTCGGTTTACTTCCTTCTCCGTGAAAACGACCTTGGAATACCACCAAGTAAAACACGATCTGTGAAAGTCTCCTTGCGCTTGGGGAGCACTTTTGTTCACACATATTCACATTTGAAATCTCATTCATTCACCATTCCGTTGCTTTTTCTTTTAACATCATCCCTAGGAGTGTGACACTCCCCTTTATTCATATACTATACATGCTAAAAGGTGATGTTTATAGGTTAGGAAACAACAAGGAAATTTGTCAAGCACACGCACAACTCCATCGGCCACATTTTGAACAAATTTGCAAGTGTTATATATGATATACTGTACACAACTCAAATATTTCATGGATTTAGGTTTATCTATCATGTGTGAACATAAAGCTTCCATAGCTAATCACGTCCACCACATGTTCGACGCAAAGTCACAATTAATATTTGTTATCTTCAAACTATTTTCTTATATGCGAAAAATATTATACAGTTCTCTTACCAATCGTGTCTATTTTTTTTTCAGATATTGATATCATATACGCACATTATTACCATGAAGAGGAAGGCAAATGTCATAGTTATTAAAAATATGACTCAGAAGATGGTATTCGTTGCATCTTCACATGGTGGTAATATGGGTGTTAATGCGAAGAGGAAAGAAGGGTATGTGATGTGAACACATATATTACATGGACCAACTTTGCATTATTACATAATGTAAATTTATGCAGTTTGTGTGATGCATTGCATATATTTTCAATAACTAATGGGTACATATTGTTCGCCATCAATTGTCATAAAATTTGTAAATGGGTTAACTGACGATTAAAAACGTGCAGTGAAGGCCATGGGTTTAGAAGAGTTGACCTGCATGAAATGCACTATGGTGAGGAGGAGCTTATGCGAGTGGTTGGTGAAAATTTTGATCCCACTACGGCTCTATTACATGTTATGGTAAATCAATTAAGTTCTCCTCTAAGAATGTTTATTACATAATGGGGTTGTCAAACACAGGGTTTGAGTTGAAGACTGTAGGTTCTTCAAAGCAAATAGAGGAACTTCAAAAAGTTAATTCTTATTGGAAAGAAGGAGCTCTTATTGACTACTTTGGTTGGGAAACTGAAAGAATTAAAGCACTATTCATTTATGTTTTTAGGTGCCTATTTTCTCTATTCATAATAGGCCAACTTCTTTCCCCAACCATGAAAATGACAATTAGTAGTTCATACGTCAAGCCGCTTGTGGATGTAAGTCCATTATCTTCTATGAATTGGAGCAAATTTTTTTATGATGGTATTATTGAAGGCATACGAAATTTTAAGGAAAAATCAAGGCGTAATATTTGTGGTTGTATCCTTCTGCTAGTAGTAATGCGTTATTTACTTATTTGATAATTCATTGAATACTTTGGAGTAATCTGAATACTACTTTCTTAGTCATACCATCTCTATTACTTAGTAATCTGGATGCGTCATACCATCCATTTCTGTCATGATCATTCCCTAGTATTCCAGTTTTTTTTTTTGGGGGGGGGGGGTAAAGAAATAAGGCAGTGCATGGTCTCACTAAACAATTGGGTGGATACAAAAAAAAGAAGGGATAACTTACGATGGCTAATTATACTCTTTAATTTTATTGTTATTATTAATTATTTAATAAGGGAAGATATTGTTTATGTGTACTATTGTTAACTAATATTTGGATTATTGTAGATAAGGGTAACAGTTGAAGAGTTAGTAAATGTTCATTTCCCAGATTTGGGACTTAATGAGAGGAAAACAATCATTTCGAACGAGGAGAATATGCAGGTTGACGTATGTAGGATATATATGGCTGTAGAACAATATGTTTCATTATTAGTAATTTTTTCCATGAGTGATGCTTCAATGTGTTATGTAGGATTTTGACAAGAGATTGTCAACGGTTGAGGTCACAGTGTCTGCAATTCGATCGAACCATGAAGCTTTGTTTGCCAAGTTCACATTTGAAGTAAATGAAAATAAAAAGATGTTGGAAACTCTTTCTGAAAGGGTGTGTACAAATGGGAGAGAACCACCTACCAAGGAGTTTGTCCACATGAGTACACTATATTATTGGATTATCCTGTATGTAACATATGAGTGTTGCTATGTATATCTTATGTGTTCTAATATGTCAACCAGGAATTATTGGATAACAATGAAACTGAGGTCGGGGCTGACAGAACCAATGAGGTTATTGTAGTTACTTGCAACCAAGATAATGTTTTTCTGCACATGGAACTAAAATGACAGATATTTTACTTTCATGTTGTTGATGGGTTGCTTCCCTATATTACTGATGTTAGTGATGAAGTAGGAAATGCAATATGGAACTACATTTTTCATGATGGACTTGATCCAGAGTATGTCACAATTAATACCATTATAGGGTATTTACTATTTGCAGTTCTTATGCAAATCATACCTTACATGTCGACGTTTACAGTGAGACGATTGTTCAATTTGAAAAAAAAATTGCGACAAGAATGACAATGAATTCATTGGGACCCAAACTTTGGTTTTCGAGCGATGTGAGTTATATTGTTTTCCTTTATTTATATTCCCAATATTTAATTAACTGACCAAGGAGTAAATGTATGGAAAACTAAATATGTAAAAATTTGTACGCAGATAATCAATATCGCGGCATGCATTATCCCACCCTCAGATAAGTTGAACAGCGACACACAGAAGACCAGATGGTATATTCTGACATGGTTCGTGGTAATATACCACAATCAAATTTTGGTTTAATGTGCTTTTGTTTACCTCACATATTGTGTTTTAATTTTCTATATATACTTACATTTTTCTATTTTCACTAATCCTTAAATTCTAGCAAATAGTCGTTGACTATACATCTGAGAGAAAAACTGGTGTTCAAGTACAACGAAAACTCATGCGATTGTGTAGCCGATACATCGGGGACATCAACATGTGTGACAAGTTATGACCGGATAAAATTGACAAGCGAGTTGCTTACAAGAGTGTAGATGACAATTAATTATGTACGTTACCATAGTGTACTCACTGCAACTCGCATATGTAGATATATGTCCCTATTAACGACGACAAAAAATATTGGTACTTATGCATTGTGGTCATACAACAGAAATAAGTCTTCCTACTGGATACTCTTCCAAGTCAAACAAGGAAATGTATACGATGTAAGCAAGTGGATGATGTGCTATGGGTGGTTTAATTTGGAATGCATATTATTTTAGTGCAACGCATTCATGGGTGGATTTGGTGAGTGTAACTTATTTCATTGTATGAATGAGTAGGTTTCATCATTAGGTGAACTAATTTCCTAGAAACATAGACATTTTGAAAGAGTACTCAATACATGGCCCGTTATTAAACCAACTTGGACACCTAAACAGGTGAATGGATATGATTGTGGAATTCACGTTGTCGATATGATTCATGAACCTCATCTGGGCCAAAATATAATGAAGGTATACTATAATTATGTATAATTTTTCTTCCATCGTCAATGTTTGGCACATGTCATAACACTTAAAATTGTATATAGGCCTCATCGTCCAATGTTAGAAAGGATCTTGCAGTAAGTTGGTTACCCATCCAGACAACAAAGTGAGATGAAATCATTGGCAAGTCATTGAAGCTTAGGAACATAAAATTTTCATAACTGGATGCATCCTTATATTTTTGAGACAATGTGCAGAATGACTCCACGTATATTCGTGCAATGAACTAAGTCTGATAATACCTAAGTGAAGGAAGACATAACACATCTTTGTGATTCGTATGAACAATTAACTTAAGCTAGTGTAGTTGTACTTATCCTCTTATGTACCACAGTGAGGACCAACTAACTTTTTCCATAATGTATTGGGACTTTTGTATATCCAAATTTATGTACATGTCTCATACTCCTACTCAGATTTCACTACGGTACCTTATTCATACATGCAGTAAAATAATTGAAAAATATGATTACCTGTACACATCATCAATAATAAATTTCATTGTGGGGAATTCTAAGGTACCTAGTAGAGAAATAGTCGGTCCCATATAGAAACGGTAGTGGGCCATGATGAAATTACGTTTTATATAGGTAAAATTATCAACTTTAGAGGTTAAATTACAACTTTTTGATGGGAGGTTATAACCATTTATGGTAAAATTACTACCTTTAGATGTGAAGTTATAACTATTTAAGGTTAGGTTACAAGTAGCAAAGGTAAAAATACCACCTGTAGATATGAGGTGAGGTTATAATCTCTTGAGGTGGCTTTACGACCCTTTCAAGTAATTTTTTCACATTTAGAGATAAAATTATCATCATTATAGATAAAATTACAATATTTAAAAAAAAGCTAAAATTTTATAGTCAAAACTATCACCTTTTGTGAGTAATGTTTATTGACAAAAAATTGATACCCACACATTTTTTGTCGTACGGTACCGAGATCAGTACCAGAGCCTCCCCCTTTTGTTGTACTTAAGAAAAGTGGTAAACATAGTTTTCACAAAAGTGATTCATGATTAAGTTGTAAAAAAATTCTCAAAAGGTGTAATGTGTACATTTGAAGCAGACATTGTTAAGGAGATGTTGGTCAAATCTCCAACATGAAAAAGAGAGTAAGCAATCCACACAATTTGAGGGAAATGTTCCAACCAATAGTAATGAGATTCTTATACAAGTCATAGGTATGGGAAACCACAGATGGTAGACATGGCAGAGGGACAAAGTAACACTCCTCTAAAAGGGTGAAAAAAAGAGTAACACTCCTTTGGTATCAGCTTATAGTGTTATGGACTTTCAATAATGCAATTGTAGGAGAATTGGAAGATTGAGGATGTCATAGACAGATTCAAACCCAAGTAGGAGGTTTATTGGTTGTGACAGATATGGGGTAAGATACCAAGACTCTGAAAAACTAATTCTTCATTCATCATTTTTTGCATAAGATATCATAATGTTAACCAACATAACGACATGCAAAAGGCTTAAGGGTGCAATTTTCTCCAATGGTATGATCCTCCAATATGCAACCGATTGAAACATGTAATTCTCGGACTATTGTGATAACTAAAAAGGCATGAGACCAAAGAAGAAAGAGCAAAAAGCTGGCCAGAAAGTTAAAGGTTGCACTTTTTGTATCATAGATATTTTTCATTGGGACCTGGATTTCGAATGTTGCATAGCAGTGCATGAAGATGGTGTAATAAATTAAGTGTGGGTGTTGTGCATATTGAAAAGTCATGTGACTGCGTTGGGTTTTGAGTGCTGGCACAACTGGAATGCAAATGTGGTTTTTGTTCATGTACTTCATATTTGGAACCATATGTTATAGTAGAACTAAAAATGTGTGTATATATAGCTAAATTCATATGAATATAAATATATCTTTGTGTATATATATATATATATATATATATATATATTACCAATATAACATCATCTACAATAATAAAAATAAGCACAAAAAAAAAACAGGCAATCGCTTAATTGACGACAAATCAAGCATATGAAATCATTTTTCCACCGTCAGCCAATCACATTCATGCCTTGGCAACAACTTGGTTTCTCAATCTGTTGTCCCTGCGGGTGAATAATTGAATAGCTAGCTTCCTACGCAATTCATTTGAATCGTCTTGAAACCAATAATATTGTTAATGTATGACATACGAGAATTGGTTAATTTAGTGCATCTATTGTATTACCTTTACGATCCAGCCAAGACCTAACATTGGTTCTTCCATGAATTTAATAACGAACATACCACAGTCATGTCCTTCTCTTGTCTTGGAGCCCATCTGGCTTCTATCAAAGGAAATGTGTGAAGAATTGGCTTGTACAAACCATCAATACACTGAAGTAACGAATCAAAATGCGCAACCACCTTCTGCAAGTCAATTAGATCGCTATCCTTTAATGGCATATAGTCAAGCAATACAACTTCACGTTGAAGTACATCGATCATGCATAAGTACCATTGTTCATTATTATTGTTCATTGGAATAAAAATCTACATTATTAAGTCAATTACCCAATTGAAGTACATGAAAATAGTAGATGCAATTCAATCAATCAATATATATATATATATCAAGCACCTTGTCACATTCTTTAATTTTTTTTATGTAATCAGATAGCTTAAGCAATGAATCATTTGTGCGTGGTACACCAGCATTGGACAATACTCTTGCAATTGCCTGTTGCTGAATTTATTCACAAATATGGTGCAAATAAAGAAATTTAAGTTTGTTGCATTTCAAACCATGATAAAGCTAATGACAAGGGTATGCAGGATGCATTACCGAAAAGTATGTGGGTAGAAAACATCTAATCTCCATATTACATGGATTCATCTTCCTCCCATCCAGCGTAATGTATGCACCAAGATTGATTATCTTTAAAAGCAATATACAAAAAACGCATCAATATGAAGGTATTTATCATATTTCTTAATGTAAAAAACACTAATATCCGATGTAACTCAACTCAGCACTAATCCATTGCAAAGGGCCTAAACTCATCATTGACTTTCTGATTGCGAACTCGTGACAAAATCTAACCAATACCTCACTGTGCGGCAACCCAATTCTATTATTGTTTTATGTATGACACACAATTTTCAGACTCGTGGTGATTAAACTATTATACCTCATATCTAGAGAAGCATAAAAAATGTATGATAGTATTGATGCATTATCAACGGTTGTGATTTTGTCTATTTCTGGATACTCCACGATAATTACTGGGACACAGGCTCTCGAGTCTGAAATCTAGTTAACAGATGAAAAGTTTAATGTGAAAAAGATTCCATGCGTATTTCTCATACAACAACACTAAATACAAACCTTACGAATCTCTTCAATGAAAGTGATTTCCTTCAGTTGAAACCTTATTCTTTTATCCATTGCACTATTTTTTTTCAGTACATGTTGAATGTCATTCTTCTTTCCATCCAGTAACTACAAAATATAATGTCAACGTTAGGTACATGTGAGTTAAAGACATTAATAGTGGTGGATGCAAAAAAATTGTTGTGTTCAACATGACCCATAACCTTAAAAAACTCATCCGTTGATGTGTTGTAATCCCTAGAAATGCGCTTTCTAATTAAATCAATATTCACCTCATACTTCACATATTTGTGCTCGGCTTTCTTACATGTTTTCAGATTTTAATTACTATGAATAAATGACATCATACCTCGGTTACTTCATATGGTGACTTCAACTATTTACTTATGGCATCAATGGGCACTGCCAAC